CTATAAAGAAAACCAAAATAAAAGATTGCTCACACTCTAGCTTGGTGACCTGAAGAATCATACTTTTTGCCATCTACTGAGTGCAAGTCCATGCACAGAGCACGCTTACAAGCACTGGAAGTGAGAGACATCACTTCTGAACACATACAATTAAACCCAAGGCAAAAGTCTCAAGTGAGGGCCCTTGGACCATCCTGAAAAGACATCTTTCCCTGAGAATCCTCACTATTGCTATATCACACAACACTGTTTCTCAATGGGACACTCAGGTCATCTTCATCAGAATTAGTTAAAGTGCTTCTTAAAATGCAGAATTCTGGGGTACAGATACTCAGCGTCTCCAGAGGTAGGGACAGGTAGTCTGTATTTTCAGAGCCGCCAAGATCACTAAACACGCTAAGGTTTAACACCGCCATGTACATCGGGTCACCTGAGCATAGACAATGCTGTCTCATGCGGTGGGGGGTTGCCATGTGTGTCAGGGTGCTGTCCTACCCATGAGACTCCCCTGATTCTCAGAACTGACAGTGCTGCCCCATTGGGCAAGAAATACCACCAGTTTACAATGCATACACAGGGCGCCCGACTGACAGATACTATCAGTGGTAGGAGAGGGCACAAAACTCAGGTTCCTGATCCCTCGTTTCACTTACTATGGGACAAATGATCAATTCAAGGGTAATAAATCAGTGAATGAGTGAATAACATGACTCTCGTTAGTCCCAAGAGTGCCTGGAAGAGCAAGCCTGGGCACACTGAGAACCATAACAGCCCATCTACTTAAATGTCATCCTTCCCAGATTTATGTAAAGGTTACTTCCACCCAGGCAGTGACTCCTGAAGGGCAAGAATCATGTCTGAACACACTCTCAAATCCAGAACAGAACCTGACAAAAATTAGGCTCTGGAGTCTGTGTTAAGGGAGTGTGGAATCTCAGTGATTCCAGCTCTTACACCTTGCCTTCCCATCCCACCCCTCATGATATGGCCCTTATGACCAGTTCTCCCGGGGCTGGGGCCACGGAACCAATTTACAGGACTGGGAGAATCTGATCATATAAACCATCCCCCAGATAATCATCAAGAGTCACCTGCATTTCAGGGATCAGTAATCCCAGATGCTTTGCAGTTCAGGCAGCTGAGGGATTTTTATATCAGCTGTCTTATACTGTGACTGCCTGGGTGACATCAGACAAGGAATTCTCAAAAGCCTGAGCTTTTCCTTTCAGGAATAATCTACTTAACAAATCTCATTGACCATTTAACAAATGTGATGTGAAGATCAATGATTTACACAGGAGTACAACATTCACTAGGTCGTGGATTTTGAATCCGAGAAAAATCATTTGAGAAAGATTGACAGAATGTAGCTTTAATGCAAATTTAAGTATTCTTACCTTTCAGTAAATCATCTTCTTCCCCTACTTGTCACTTCACCCAAGTTTAAAAGATGTTTGAGAACAGGGATGAGTGTGCCAGCATTCTGTGACCCAATAACCTAAAATGTCACCTAGGAAAAAGAGGGGAGTAACACATTTTTAAAAAGTATGGTGAGGACAGTGAGACCATCCTCCAACTTCACACTAAGAAGCTCTGAGTAATAACTTTCCTGCCTGCCTGGGGCATCAGCTGATGTGAAAACCCACCTAGAAACCACAGTGTCCAGCAGCTCTTCTGTAACACAGGCTATACTTTCTCAGGATTAAGAATTGGGTCAAGTAACCCCTTCGCTGAAGAATAAAC